TTACAAAATTTTACTTTGGAGGTATTTTGTTTTATTTCAGTCAAGGATCCAGACAAGTATTACCCGTTGCATTAAGCTGTTTTGCCCTTTTTTAATTTCTCAGTCTAAAATGGTGCCACTGTCTCGCTCTGTTGTCTATGACATTGAATTTAAGAGTCTAATACAGTTACACAGTGGAACATCCCACATTGTGGATCATTTTTCCTTATGACTAAATTTTAATGGGATCACTAATGAATGTTTTTTTTGATTATTATAGTTGGATGATTTACCTGAAAACTCACCAATCAATATAGTTCAGACTCCAATTCCCATTACCACCTCAGTTCCTAAACGTGCAAAAAGTCAGAAGAAGAAAGCATTAGCAGCAGCCCTTGCCACAGCTCAAGAATATTCAGAAATAAGTATGGAGCAAAAAAAATTACAGGTATATATTGATTTTTAAGAAAAGATATGATAGTTTATTTGCTAGATTTGGGGGGAATGGATTGAAGGAGTGATAAATATAATCATCTTAAATTGCTGCACTTTCATCGGTAACAAAAGATAAATGTTTTCCTGTTCACCTTTCAGGAAGCTTTATCAAAGGCAGCTGGAAAAAAAAATAAAACACCCGTGCAGCTAGATTTGGGGGACATGTTAGCTGCTTTGGAAAAACAGCAACAAGCAATGAAAGCACGGCAAATTACTAACACCAGACCTCTGTCATATACAGGTGATGTTATTAGTCTGAACAATTTGCTATTTGGCTTTGGTAATTTTTTTTTTCCCCTTTGGCTTAAAACAACAGAAGTTTATTTTCTCATGGTTCTGGAGACTAAAAGTCCGAAATCAAGGTGTCAGTGGGGCTGCTTTCCTCTGATCCTCTAGTGGAGGATCCTTCCTTGCCTCTCCCAGTTTTTGGAGGCTGGGGACCTTCCATGGCTTGTGCTGCATAACTCCAATCTCTGCCTCCGTCCTCACCAGCCTTCTCCTCTGTGTGTCTGTGTCTGGTAATATATTTTGGATATTGTTAATTTTAAATTTAGGTTATTAAGTATGAAATGTCCAATTTCCTTAAGTACTAAGTATGACAGTTGATATCTCTTGACATTTCACTTTGACACTCCTTGTTTTATTTTTATTGTGAAAGTATATCCTTATTCTTTCGAGTGCATGGTTGGCTTGTGATTATCTTTCAAATTTTTTTTAGAGCAATTTTTGTGAAACCATGAATAAGGCAAAAATTTGTGTTATTTTCAAATATGAGTTCCATCATGGAACCGATGCAATGCAGACAGCTCAAAATAATCAATTAAGTGTTTGGGAAGAATGTGGCTATTGAACATACAGTATGTTGATGGTTTGAGAAGTTCCATTCTGGCGATTTTAATCTTGAAAATGAGGCACATGGGTGACCTGAGACCGAGGTGGATAATGATGAGCTGAAAGCTATAGTGGAAGCGAATCCATCTCAACCTTCACGTGAATTAGCAGCAAGGTTCAATGTTACTATTCCAACGATACTGGACTATTTAAAACAAATCAGCAAGGTAAAGAAGCTGGATAGATGGGTTCCACATGAGTTAAATGAGCATCAGGAGAGAAATCATCATGAAATTTGCTTTTCTTTGCTGTCATTACATAAAGGTGAACCATTTTTATACCATATTGTTACATGTGATGAAAAATGGATTCTTTTTGACAATTGCTGGTGTTTGGCACAATGGTTGGATAAAGATGAAGTGCCCAAACACAATTCAGATCCGAATATCCATCAGACAAAGCTAATGTTGTCTGTTTGGTGGTCCAGTGCTGGTATTATCCACTGCAGCTTCATGAAACCTGGTCAGTCGATTACAGCAGATATCTACTGCAACCAATTGTACAAAATGATGAGGATGCTTGCAATTAAGCAGCCAAGATTGGTCAATAGAGACAGGCCAATCCTCTTGTAAGACAAAGCTTGACCACATGTCACACAAACAACGCTGCTCAAACTACAGAGGCTGGACTTGGAAACTCTCTGTCATCCACTGTATTCACCAGACTTTGCACCAACTGACTCCCACTTCTTCCAGGCTTTAGACAACTTCTCACAAGGAAAAATCTTCAATTCTCAATAAGCTGTGGAAAACACCTTTGGTGATTTCATCGCCACTTGCTCTCTAGGCTTCTTAACTGCTGGCATAAACAAACTACCATTAAGATGGCAAAACTGTGTTGATAGTTTAGACACATACTTTGATTAATTGTACTGCTTCTTTGAGATAATAAACTAAACTTTTCATTTGAAATTGGACATTTCATACTGAATGGCCTAATAGTTGTATATATATTTTTTCCAAGTCAGCTCAAACCACAAAACCTGAAATTGTCCATGTGCCTTCTCTTTACATATCAAGTCCTTCAGCACATGCTGTCAATTGTGTCTTCAAAACACGTTCAAAATCTAATTACTCACCAGATCCTTTCCTGCCACCATTGTAGCCCCCATCATTATACTATTAATGCATTGTGGTAGCCTTCTAACTGCTATCTGCCTTTCCCTCTCTCCAACCCCCAGTCTATGTTAAAAGGAATGATTTTTGAGAAATATAAGCTGGGATACATCACTCCACTGCTCAGAACTCTCTAGTAGGTCTTCATTTCATTGGAGTAAAGCCAGAGTCCTGACTAAAGTTGCATCTTAACTGACCCTGTTACCTCTTTGTCCTCATCACCATTCTCTCCTGACGCACTCTGCTCTAGCTGCATTAGTTGTCCTCAGACACACCCAGAATGATCCTAGCTAAGTATCCTTGGGCTTGCCATTCTCTTTTCCTAGAATGCTCTTTTCCCAGGTATCAGTATAGTTTGTTCCCTCAGGTTCTTCAGATCTCTGCTTAAATGTCAGTTGGTGTGCAATTTCAACCAACCAATTTTTTTCTTCTCCAAAGGTTGAAATAAAAATCACAAGTAATTTGGCTCTCTTAACTGTTAAATAATCCATTATAAAACTAAATGGCAAATAAGAGTTTTGATCAAATTGTGTGTGTGTGTATGTGTATATGAGAAAATAATCTGGCTTTCTGTTGATTGAAACAGTGATTTCTATTTTAACAAACTTTGTCAAATTTAGAGCTCAGCAGTTTTTTAAGAGAGAAAGGAATAGGACAAAGGAAAGGGAAAGGCACCAATAAACATTACTGCTGCTGAGAGGCAGAATTGAATTTTCTGTTTCTTCTGTTCCTGTGTGAAGGGACTATTGCTTGTTAGACAAAAAATATAAGTAATTGTGTAATTTTAATCTTATGTACAAAACATTTAAACCTATAGCTAGTTATCCATCTGCTATAAACCTTCGCTTTGAGTAACTTAGTAAAAATAATATTGGAGGTATACTAAGATTTAGAGTTATATGTTGTCGAGATGGGGAGAGTAGCAGTAATATCTCACTAAGAGTAAAAATAGGGAATAAAACTGAGAGGTGCCAGTGGTCTGGAGGTAGTATGGCATAGTAGCTAAAAGTAGGGGCTCTGGTGTCAAGCTGCCTGGGTTTGAATCCTATCCTTCCATATATTTCTTTGGTAAGTTACTTAGCCTTTCTGCGCTTCAGTTTCCTTAACATTAAAATGGAGGTAATGATAGTACCTACTTTAGGATTGTCTTGAGGATTAAATAAGATGATACAGGCCGGGAGTGGTGGCTCACACCTGTAATCCTAGCACTCTGGGAGGCTGAGGTGGGTGGATCGTTTGAGCTCAGGAGTTGGAGACCAGCCTGAGCAAGAGTGAGACCCCGTCTCTACTAAAAATGGAAAGAAATTAGCTGGACAACTAAAAATGTATATATAAAAAAATTAGCCAGGCATGGTGGAGGATACCTGTAGTCCCAACTACTCGGCAGGCTGAGGCAGGAGGATTGCTTGAGCCCAGGAGTTTGAGGTTGCTGTGAGCTAGGCTGACGCCACGGCACTCTAGCCCAGGCAACAGAGTGAGACTCTTCTAGAAATAAATAAGTAAATAAATATGATGATACATGTAAAATGCTTAGAGTAGCTGGGTAATAATCGCTCAATAAATATTAACTAATATTATGGAGAAGAGATTGTTAACCTGTGATACTTCAAATGACTTATTGTTATTAATGCAACTCCATTCATTTACCAAATGTTAATATATACAAATATAATTCTATATGCAAACATGGTGTCAGGAACTGTTGGGATTACAGGGGTGATTAAGATAATACCTTTGGTCAGGAAGTTTATAGTCTAAATAAGTAATCAAAGGCAGTGTCTTAGGAAAGATACGAGCAAAGTTTTATGAGCTTACAGAAGAAAGTGTGATATCTTTCAATGAGGTGATACAGAAAAAGTGTTATAAGTGACTTCATAAAATATAGCATTTGAGGAGGGAATAGGATTGTTGACAGATAGAAATAAGATTAACGTCTAATCTATTACCAGTGTTTAAAATTGGAAAGCGTTGATTACAAAGAAAGCCATTGGGAAGTTCAGGAAAAGGATGAGAGTGCAATAGTGATGAAAAAGGATTGTAAAGGAATTGATAGTGTTTGGAAACAGGTCAAAGATGAATCCAAACTCTGGCTTGGAGGATTGTGGTGGTAGTTACAGCTATGATGATACTACACAAGATAAGGATCATAGAAGATGAATTTTGTTGGGAAGAACAGATGGCTGACCCTGTTATATTTTTAGATGCTGGCAATGGAGATCCTGGCGGTTCCTGTTTAGCATTTAGTTATGAATGTGTAGTTCAGGTTAGAAACTCAGTGAGTTTCAAATAGTGATTGTTGAAGGTGTGGAAATAAGGCGGTTGGGGAAAAGAAAAATTAGGGAAATATGTTCAAGGATAAAGCATTGTGGAACGCTCAGATTTAAAGGACAAAAGGAAGAAGAACCAGAAAAATAGATTTGAAAAAGAATGAGAGTAAGAGAGTGTAATGTCACAGAAGGTAAGATTAGAATTTTGAGGAAAAGGTTGTAGTCCTTATTACTAAACACTGAAGAAAATGAGAATAAAGTGAAGATGCAGAGAATTTTACTGGGCAACTGCAATGTTATATGTGATCTTGACAATAAGTTTCAGGAAAGTGGGTAGGGCAGGGGCCAGATGGTAATGATTTGGGAAGTGGTGATGAGAGAGTGTTCAGAAGTTTCACAGGGAAGGAAAGGGGAGTGATGGTACCTTAGCTTGAAGGGAAGCCAATCAAGGGAAGGGTTTTGTTCGTTTGCCTTTTTTAACTCTTGTTTCTTTTAGATAGGGGAGATTTTGGCTTGTTATAGGAGGTCAGAGCAAAGAGTTAGGGGTCAGGGAGGAACCTGAAAGATGCAAGGGAATAGGAATAGAGCAAGATGGTAGAGGAACTGATACGGGATATTAAGAGCAGAAGTAGTTGGTGAGCCTTGGACAGGAGTAAGGATGTCTGCCACCTCCTTTCAGGTGGTTTTATAAGTTTATGTTGGATGGCATCTTCTGAGGCCGGAAAGCTCTTTAGAATGAGAGGATTGAGATTTAGAGACATATGGATGGTAAACAATTGACGGTAGCCACTGGAGAATGAGGTTATCAACCAGGCATAAAAGAATTGCTGAATAGTACTGAGAGTGCAGGGGGAAAGTCATCATTCTTTACTGACACTAAAATGAGGAGAGGAGTGATAGGCTGCATATCTTATGTAAGAGTGAGTAGCAAATTCAATAGGAATAAGGAGAGAGGTGTAGAGTTTTGAAATTTCAAAGGTAGGATGATTCTAACTGAAGACCAATTGCAAAGAATTAGTCTTATGGAGGCTAAGAGGTAGATAAAAGCTGTATCTGAGGGACACTGCATAACCAGGTACTGCTCCTACTATTATGGTGTCTGTTTTTTCCACGGGAAGAGAACGTTCTTGTTTTTGTAGGTTTATCATTGGAAATTTTGAAAGTGTGTGGAATTGGTCATAATAGTAAAACTAATGTTTTTGTTTGTTTTAGTGGTTACTGCAGCTTCTTTTCACACTAAAGACTCTACTAACAGAAAACCTTTAACAAAAAGTCAGCCTTGTTTGACATCCTTTAATTCTGTGGACATTACTTCCTCTAAAGCAAAAAAAGGAAAAGAGAAGGAAATTGCAAAACTAAAACGACCCACAGCACTTAAAAAGGTAAACCAAAATTTTGGAGATGTTTATTTTACAGGATAAATAAGGGTTTAAATTTGTTTTGCAAAAGTAGTTGTGGTGTTTTAGCCACATGCCTGTTGCATGTTCGTGATGACGAGTTAATTTGAAGTTCAGGATTAGCATCAGCATCATGACTGTCTTTCTGAGTGGAACAAGGCCCTGGAAAGTGAATTCTTTCTATAAGATTATTAAAGAAACCCAGTTAATAAAGGCAACTGAAGGTATTAGAAAAAAAAGGAAAAAAACAGTTAACCATTTAATATCCAGAAACATTAGACCCAAAGAATCAGAAGCCCTGGATTTCAGTACTAACTTCAGAGTTTGCTATGTATGTAGTTTTAGGAAAATTTTTTACCCTCATCTTTCTCATCTATAAATTGGGGAAAATACCTGCTTTGTTTAACTCACTATTGTTATTAGGAGGATCAGAATGGGATAATCCATGTTCAAATAATTGAGAACTATGAACTGTAAGCCAAGTGTAAATGTATGACCTGGTTTCCAAACTTTTGAATTAATCTACTTTTGGGAAAACTCTCTAGTTTGTCACTAGGATTTAAAGAATGAAGCAGATGTGGTTTGATAGTTGTATATTCTGTAACATAATTGCGCCCCTGTATTTTGTATATGGTACTTCCTTCAAATTACAGTATCTAAAATCACAGTTACCTTTTTGCCAATCAGCTCAACTCCTCATATCCGTATTTAACTGAACCATACTATAGTTCGGTTATAGTATACAATCGTAATCATTCAGTACGTGGTTGAAGAGTGATCAGTGATTAAAGACTGGTATGACTTTTAGGTTATTTTGAAAGAAAGAGAGGAAAAGAAGGGGCGTTTAACTGTGGACCACAATATTTTGGGATCTGAGGAGCCAACAGAAATGCACTTAGATTTCATTGATGATTTGCCGCAGGAGATTGTTTCCCAGGAAGGTAAGGAAGTCCCCTTTTCCTTCTCATGGGATGGTACTCCTTTCATGGAACGGTCTGGAGTATTTTAATTTCTAGGTAAGCCTTTAGTAGTTATACTCCTAATTGGAGGATGTACTCTCCATAGTTTATATAAATTTCTTTATTTTTGAGAGTAGTTTCTTTTGAAGATGCTTTGATAGGGAGAGGTTAAAGGGAGATACTATATAGTAGTCTATGACATTTTTCAGGCTTAAATTTGTAGTAAAACCTCAAAATTAAGATCTCACTAATACATGATTATCTCTTCGAGAATTGTCAACGATTCTTTTCATTTTGTCTTCTTTTATCTCCAAAACACTATTGGTTATCTTTCGTCATAGGGCTATTTTTCATTGAGTCATTTTTGTTGATTTTCTTTCTTGCTTTTGTGAAATTAATACATATACACCATAATGAACAGAGAATTGCAAAGCAGAGTCCAGTTGGTCAGTAAGATTTAGTTCTATACAGTAAGTAGCCAACACATATGATTCTAATTGGTCACTCAGCAAAACTACAGATTTCTTCTAATATTTATACTACCATGGAAGAAAGACTTTTCTGCTGTTATATATTTCTCAACTTTTTGCAATACATTTAAATCTGATTTACACGTAGATTAAGCAGCAGTGTTCCATTGTTTTTAGAAAAATGACTGTACTTCTAAGGATTGTTCATCTAGGACATATTTGATTAGGATTTCTCTCTGTTCTCAATGTAACATGATTCTCCTTGTATTTAGGTGTATCCATCCATCCATCCATTCAGCAAATGTTTATTGAACATCTACCACTTGCATTTTAGTAACTCGTATGGGAGCGGGGAGGTGGGGGACTGTAATAAAGATACATAGTGGATAGGTCCTGCTGTCAAAGAGCTTACAGTCTGGTAGGGAGATGAGAAGATACATGAGTAACATTGTTTGGATATATAGTTAGGAACTCATTTCTTGAGTTTAGCTGTTTAGGAAAGAAGCAGTAACTGAAGGAAGCAGATGGTGGGGTCAAGAGATGGCATATAAATATGTGGCTCCCTGAGCACAGAAGCAAAGACCAAATGATAGAGAAACTGGTGTGGTGCCTGGAAAGTCAGTAGTGGTGTGGAGAGAATGAGCAAGGGAGAATTCGTCATTGCCAGCAACAGTGGGAATTTTTAGACAGTTAAAAAAAAAAGGAAATGATTTCTAAGAAATAGGTAGAAAAATAGAAATGAAGAAGATGGGTAATATGATCTGGAAAGAGGTGCAGGTCTTCGTTCTTTCATTTAAATCCTCTAGGAATACATGCTTTAGATAATTTGGTCTTCTCTCATCTCCTCTGTGGAGACATCTGGGCTGTGCCTGATTTTTTAAGAATATCCATCTATATATATTTCTAAAGAGACAGGGTCTCGCTGTGTTGCCCAGGCTGGCTTCAAACTCCTGGACTCAAGTGATCCTCCTTGTCTCAGCCTCCTATGTAGCTAAGGCTATAGGTGCATGCCACTGCACCCAGCTAAGAGTATATTTTAATAGATAATAGGAAGACTTCATTTTTGTAGCGTATGGAAAATATTTGTGATATGAAAAATGTCCAACTTGTTAGCTTCTGGAGAATTTGGAAATGACCCAAAAAACAACTGCCATTCTAAATTGCGTTGTGGAATATAGAGCTTTTCAGCATTCGAAGTTTGTAAATTCTTTCCTTCACCCCACATCTCCACAGATACTGGACTGAGCATGCCCAGTGATACTTCCCTCTCTCCAGCAAGTCAGAACTCTCCGTACTGCATGACACCTGTGTCACAAGGCTCTCCTGCTAGTTCTGGAATAGGCAGTCCAATGGCATCTTCAACAATAACCAAAATCCACAGCAAGAGATTTAGAGAGTAAGTTTTATACTCATTATTGAGGTTGTATAGTTCAAGGACCTTGATTGTAGTTCTGAATTTAGTATTGCCATTGTTACTCAGTGAGTCGAGCAGAAAAAAACACCAAAGATCTTTAAGTTCTTTCAGATTTTATTTAACAGCTGGTTTTATTTTACGTAGAGCATTGCCTTCTGCCAGCTGTCTTTGTTCATATGAAAGTGATTTGACCACGAATATATTCTCTTTACATCAGCTAGTGTTTCTATTCTAGAAATCTGGCCTCATATATAAAATGTCATACCATGA